CTGCCATTCAGCCAGTTCTCAATCCATCTCACTGTCCACTCATCTAACCCACACTTCCTGTGCTTACCTATGAGGATGTTATGGGAGACCGTGTCAAAAACCTTCCTGAAGTCAAGGTAGACAACATCCACTGCTCTCCCTTCATCTACCCAGCCAGTCATGCCATCATAGAAGACTATCATCAGATTGGTCAAGCGTGATTTCCCCTTGGTGAATCCATGTTGACTACTCCTGATAACCTTCTTTTCCTCCACATGCTTAGAGATGACTTCCAGAATGAGCTGTTCCATCACCTTTCCAGGGATGAAGGTGAGGCTGACTGGTCTGTAGTTTCCTGGGTCCTTCTTCTTCCCCTTTTTGAAGACTGGAGTGACACTGGCTTTCCTTCAGTCCTCAGGCACCTCTCCTGTTCTCCATGACCTTTCAAAGATGATGGAGAGTGGCTTAGCAATAACATTTGCCAGCGACCACAGCACTCGTGGGGGCATCCCATCAGGGCCCATGGATTTGTGGGTGTCCAGTTTGCCTAACTGATCTCTAACTTGATCCTCCTCGACCAAGGGAAAGTCTTCCTTTCTCCAGACTTTCTCTCCTACCTCCAGGGCCAGGGATGCCTGAGGGCTGGCCTTAGCAGTAAAGACTGAAGCAAAGAAGGCATTCAGTAACTCTGCCTTTTCTGTATCCTCCGTCACCAGGGCCCCCACCTCATTCAGCAGTGTACTGGCCGGCTGCCCCTCAGGCACTTGCTATTTGCCAGGGGAGAGCTTCTCCTGGGGATTGATGGGAGGCTGAGAAGTCACTACCTTTCCTTTCATGGCAGTGTTCTCTTGGGACCCTTTTCTACCCAGCCTCTGCTTTGCCTGATGCCTGATACATTTAAGACCTCAACCAGTCTGTCAAATTGGACTGAAATTGGCTGGTAGGTTCAAAGATTATTAGACAGTGAACAAAGGGAGAGGTGAACGCAGAGGTGGATAGGCAAGACAAAAATACCTCTCCTCTTGAATCTACACCTAATCAAAGTTTAATTGAAGTTTCTCATGAAAGTCACCTGGATGAGAATCCTGATTTATGCTCCCATGATTTAATCATATCATCATCTAACCTTCTGCCTGAGAAATCTAAGTATTATTGTAAGCGTATAGACACCCCACCAAATTTCTTGCCTGAGAATCAGAAGTCCTCAGTTTCCCAAGCTCAGAGTAATATTTTAGCAATAAATATACTAGGAATTTTATTTCCTCCCCTGTGTTGCTTTGCCTCCTGTTACTAAGCTATATGAATGAAAACACTCAGTTTTTTATAGACAGTAACCGCAGAAAACAATACATAATTCAGAGAGAGGTCCTGAATTCAGCTACTGGAAGCTGCTTCACTCTCCTCTTTTCTTTCAGCCTCTGCTCTTTATCCATCTTTTAAAAATCAGGTTAGTGCTTGTTTAAGAGCCTTAGTGACTTTGCACAGTGTGAGAGCAGTAAAGGGAGTGATGAGGAGGTTGTCCTGGGGGAGGCTGAGAGAGGGGGTGAGCCGGTGCAGGGCTTTTCCTGGATCTCAATAAGAAAGGGCTGACAACAAAAGGATTAATAAGATAACTGCTTTAATAAGACAGAATAGGAAGAGGAATGTAGGTAGTGAGTAAATGTTATGTCCCTTCAGATGCTGGGCTCCCACGTTTGTGCAGCATCAGACCTAGCCCAGATGGATTTTCCCCCTGCGTGCTGCACAGAGCAGATCCTGTCTGTGGAGAGAAGCTCTCCCTTCTTGGTCATTCGAGATACTGTATAGTACAAGAATTGTATTGTATACAAGAAAACAAGTCTATTCCTAAAGGATGTTCACACAAGAACTTCTTGCTGCCCTTTCAGATGAAGTCAAGGCCAGGCAAGTGGTGTGATCGCTGGTACCGAGTGGGAGCTGCCTGCAGGCTCCCCTGGCCCAACGATCTGGCTGAGCTCATCCCACGGCCAAGGGGCATGTGCAGCACAACACAGCCTGAAGGCCACGCTGTATGTGCAGCCCAGTGCAGGATTGGCCTGTGCATGCTCAGGTTAACTATGATGTCGCTCACACCCTCCTCAACAAGCAGTGCTGTCCTGGTCAGGATCAATACACACCACCCCTTGATCCATATACAGTTTACCTTTCCCAAAGCTATATTATAAGGTGCAGATTATATTAATAACATAGGGGCCTCTCAAGCCCTAAGTACGAGCCCTAACAGAGCAGACGTGGCCTGTCCGAGATCATTGACCCCTAGAATGCAATGTCTTCAACAAGGCTCCCAGTACCGATGTGTGTCTTTTAAGATTTTCCTCTACATCTTCCATTTAAAAATAAGCTGGTACATATAAAATGTGTATGAATAATTTAAAAATGTCACCAGAGAGTTACATTAAAGGGTAACATAATATTCTGTAGCAACTAGAAATAAATCCCTTAGCATGGAAAACTGCTGTACTGCAGAACAGCAATTAGAAGCAAACAAAAGGAAACAACAAGATTCTTGAATCTTCTGGCTGTATCTCCAAACCGAATTAGTATAGCCTCCAACTACATCAAAGACCGCTTCATTAATGAACCTCTGAATCATCTGTACTCCTCTGTGACTGATAACCATGACTCAGTATTACCAGCTATGAGGGTGAGGTGGTTTGGTAGTAAAAGCATTAAATAGCCCGCTATCTCCAAGTTCTGCCATGAACTTGCATGGGCAGACTGTCATCTCTGCACCTCAGCTCTTCATTGAAAGGTGATGCTCCTCAACACCGTGACATTTATGTTACTCGTAGAATGGATCATGCATTGCAATGAGCCTTGAGCACAGCAGAGTCTTCTAGGTAGTCCTGAAGTGCTTGAGAATGCACAGAAAGTGTTCACAGCTGGGAGTCCTCAAATAGAGAATCACCTGACTTTCCAGATATTTCACAAGGAAGAAATGTTGGAAATGTCTAAGTTGCAGCAGTTGGGAAAGGAGGATCATGGTTTTAAGGAAATGGTAATTAAGAGTTCATAGGAGAAGAATGCATAAGGGAAAGGGGAAGAAATAGTGAGCACAGGTAAGTTTAAATGGACAGAGAAAAGACTGGGGGAATGCAGGGAAAGAAAATGAAGTTGCTATCAGATTATGTAGAGGGAGATTAATGAGAAAAGTGAACACAGAAATCCTGGTAGGGAAACCAGAGAAGCCTGTTTAAGAAACGGAGGAAAGAACTACCTCAGACAGTTAATTAAAACAGAACTGCTCTTGTAAGATACTAGGTAAAACTAATATCCACAGATGCCATCATATTCAGATTGATCCTGATGGCAAAGATACATCTTTGCTGCTTCTTTTCTTGCAGAGACACATCAATAATGCATATCTTAATTACATTCAACTACAGAACCTATGTATTAGAGTGGTGCCACTTTGGTGATGAATAGAGATGTCTACTAATTTGTCATCTTGCAAAGTACAGTATTGGGAAAAGCCTAGCTTGCCTGTGTGAAACTATAAGGGCCGGTCTGTAAGAGAAGACTGGAAAATATGTATTAAAAAATACATTATATTGAATAGTAGTAAGTCCTTAACATGAATACTGGGCTGAATTCTGGCCTCCTTATTATAGGTCAGATATATTGTTAGATGTACCTGAAGTACAAACAGTCCAAAAAAAGACAATGAAACAGAAGAAAGATGAGACACAAAGCATTGCAAAATCTGTTAATCCGAATATCAGAAAAAATAATGAAAATATAACATTACAGGAAAAAAGTTATTACAGTTTAAGGAATTTAGATACTCCAAGTAGGTTTATCTGATTTTTCTTATGTTCTTGTGAATCCATCAAACAAAGAAAAGCTGAAGCTGTCTTTACATCACCTGTTTTCAAGTAGCATCAAAAATTCTGAACAGGTTTTGTTGCATATTGGCACATATACCACTTACTGTATATGCTGGTAACATACTTTTCACAATACAAGGATGGTAAGATTGTCTCCCTGGGAAGCTGTCAGTCAAAATCCTGTTTACTCTAGCATGTCATAAAATCCAAGTATAACAAACTTTTCTGTCAGTTTTAGGATTTGACTATAGCTGGATCTGACATCAGTTCCCTATATAACAAATTTTGACTGTCAGTTTTGATATTATAAAACTTACTTGTTCTGAAACAAAATTTGGGTAGCAATGTTGGCTTTTAATTTCTTTTAATTGTAAAGTCTAAGGTTAAAACTTCTCTTCAACCACAAGTACTCTAACTGGAGAGCAGTAACTGATTGCTGGCTGACATCTGAAATAACTCTGCATGGCAGGAACCGAAGTTGCTTATTACTTTTCTTTTCCTCTTTTTTGCTTGACTGTAGACAAAGACACACTTTTCCTCAGGGAGAATAGAGAGCATCTTCTCCTAGGAACTGATCTGTAAGTATGGAAAAAGCATTCAGAAACATTGGCATAGCATCAAAATTCAAAATATTTAGATGTTACCAGATTTTACTTGTGGGCAGAAGGACATTTATTTAAAGGTGAAATACTGAAGGTGGACTGTATGGGCTATGTCTATGACATCTTGTAGGAGAATTTCCAACAGCATCTTCATGTCCTGAAGATGCAGCCTGTGTTGGCCTTGAGACTGTCTTGCGGGGAGGCAGGAGTGTTGAAAAGTGTCTGCTTTTATCCAGTTGGACATCTGGTCTCTGGCCCTCCCTCGAGTTCTCTCAACAACGTCACATCATGGATCTCACCACACCCACAGGCTGTCCCCATGCCCTTTTGGGGTCTGATGTAGCTTGGGGCCCACACCCTCATGCACAGCACTCCTTTTGATAGGTCCAAAGTGCAAGATGCAGCTTTTCCATTTCTGGGTGCTAGTGATGCTAGACAGAGGGGTAACTGCCAGGAGGGACTCCCTTTCCCTGCTGCCCAGAAATTTTGATGCTGGACAACTCACATCTCTACAGCAGCCAGAGCCTTGCTCGTGATGGACACTGTCAAATGTGTCAGAAATATTGTTCAGAGCAGGCTGCATGACATAGAATGGCCCTGCCAGGGACAGTCAGCACACAATACTTTCAGGCGCCCTCCTCCTGCCGTGCACTAAGCCCTTGGCAGCCCCCATTACACCCCGATCTCTGCCGAACTCCTCTAATCCCACAGCCCAGCTTCCATATGCGTCTCAAGCCCTGCAAAATCCAAGTTGTAGGAGGCAACCAGGCCTCTCTCCATGGGGGTTAGGTCCTTCATACGGGGTCAGAAGGACCCCATGGCAGAATGGCAGGACAAAGCAAGGCAGCTACTTACTGACTACCA